GATTAAATGTCAATCTGATTTAAAGTTGAGGGTTTTCTTAATGTACATTCAGATAATGACTTCTCAAACTAGGAAGATAATTTGAAAAGAAGCATGTGAAAGTACTAGTTTGTTGATGAATGAAACAAATGGTGTAGCATCAAATAATATTCTATTTGACTAATGTCTTTGAGATATCTGTTGTGAAATAGCTGTTTGAGGACTGTAGGAAGAACTGTTTTCATTCCTGACTTCTTGTGTGGTATTTATTGCTTTTACACATGTTTAATATTTTGATATTATGAAAGCTTTGATATGAATTTCCTTTATTATCTTAATAGCATTCCTGACACATAATCGTGTCCTGGATAGGCATGATTCACATTTCTACTTTCTGTAGGTGTTGATAGAACTCTCAAGCCCAGTAATTAAGCAGACATATTTTGGATCACTTAGTAGGACACAGAGCTTCTCAACTTTTCTCTATTTGATGTAAATAACAGCAATACCACATTAAAGCAGATGCACTCTAACAAATTTCTTCTGAAAAGCTTCTCAAACAGTGGACAGGTGTACAGTTTGTGTGACAGTTCTGGGGAAGCTATGTGGTGGTGTTACAGGAGTCTTCCAAACTTCTGAAGACACCTTTTCCCATTCTACAACATCCCTTTCAGACAGCAACATGTTCTTTTGAGATGAGGAAATGAATAATGGCGATAATTTCCAGCAACTAGAGCAGAGCACAGTTAACTATCATTAATTGTTGGTGACAGGAGGGAAGTTGTGTTCCTGGTTGCACTTTGCAGCCTCTCTGAATCCTCCTACTTGAAGATTTCACCATGTGGTTAAGATATGGTGCTTTAACGTGAGGTTTAAAGAGATTGTCAAAGCATTTCTGTAGTATTCGTCTCTGTATTTTGAGAGACCTGGAATTTTGCTGTAACTTGTACATCTCTTGGAACTAGAAGCATTCAGTTAAGTACACTAACAAATTCGTAATTATAGGCTGAGCAATGTGTCTTAGTTACTACTTCAGGATAGGAACTTTGCAAGGGTGGTGGAGGAGGAAAGAGGAAATCTGTAAGCCAGATATGTGCAGGGATATCACTTGGGTTTTACTTTTTTGTGGGTGGTTTTTTTTTTATACAACCAGATGTTTACCTGTAGCTTTTTATTCAAAATCCATTGTTAATTTTAACTTATTTAAATTGCTCCAAATAGGATCTTCTGAAAGTTAGATTGATCTAATAGAGTTTAGATTGGCAATGTTGTAATCTAAATTGTCTGTTTCCAAGACTGTCCAGTATTGTTGTCTCCTGATTTATTTATTTTTGTTGTGAAATTTCCCCCCCGTATTTTAGGAGGATTTCTTACAGATCTGTCCTTAGATTGCTATTTTTCCTTAACAACTTCTCTTCAGATTGCTTTCTCAATTCTGCCTTTGGCTGCAACATGTTTTGTCCACTGCCTTGTTTCATTGCCTCTATTGTACCTGCCAGTTTTCGCTTAAAGTTAATGTAGCTAAAGTAAACAAACTCTAACTCAAGTTCCTTCCACTTGCCATCTTCTTTCTAATTCAGATCTGTGACTTCATATTCATTTGCATTTTTTTCCCTCGCTCTTGTACTGAGCGGTAGAAGGATTTTGATACAGAAAGACTCATCCTTTCTTCCCAATTAGAATCTTGGCATTTGATTTCATGCCTGTGGCAATTAGCCTCATATATTTTAATGCAGTGAGAGGTGTTCCGTAGGTGAGGTAATCCCTATGCAGATATTCCATTCCTACCTCAATGTCATGTCCTCCTTCTTCAAAGCCTGTTCCGACTCAGCTGTGTCCCAGTGCAGCATGCCACAGCCTGTAGTGACAGTATTCTTCCTGCAAAAGCTCTGCCCTTTTTGTGCTGCAGCTTCCTGGAACTCATCAGTAGAGCCCCTGGCTGCTTTAAACTTCAGATTGGCACTGCTGTGGCATAGTTGACTAGTGACAGCAGAAGGAAGGGAATATTACTGTGTGCAGCAGAATCCTTGTGTCTGGGCTTCTTAATGCTATTTCAAACTAGATTGAAGCTCCTGGCCTGCTTTTTTTATTTGACTTTGTGTCACTGAATTGTAGAGTCTTTACTCTCTAGTAGAGAAATTAGAGTGTAGGTTTCTAGTGCATTAACATTTGTTGTATGGGTGGTAACTGTAAGCTGTCAGCTTCATCAATCGTTTTCAACTTCCTGTTTTGCAAAAGTGATTTATTAGTGTGTAAAGATGTATGAAGTCATACAGTAATCTTCAGTCTTGAGGTTGCTATGCTGCCAATCAGTGCTGTTGCATTGCTATACAATGCATTAACAGGTACGAATGGGAATGAATGTCTTCTGGGAAGCTTTTCAGCTAAGGAGAACCTATATCTTTTGGGTTGAACAGTCGTTTGACAAAGCAGATCACTTAGTTGTATGAAGTTATTTGTACATGCTTTGTAGTCTCCTTGCTGTTCTTTTTCCCTTCCTGCTGTTGGGAAGAGAGGAAAAAGTAGTAAAAGTATCACTCCACTCCTTAGCCTTGCCATTGGTCTTATTTTTTAAATACAAATTTGACAAAGCAAATAGAATTACATCAGTTTCGAAACTTGAGATTGTACTTTGTCAGATGGAGAATTAAGATCACTGCTTTATAATAATGAGACTTCATAGTGGTATGATGTGCAAGAAATTGTCCTGAAAGAGTCATTGTATACTGAATTAATGCACATGTGTTTGTCATGACATAGTGAAGTTGCACGAAATAGATTATCTTCTGGAGTTCTGTCTCCATGAAATGTTAGTGTGAAACAAAGGCTGTTAAAGGAAGAACAGTTGGCTGGAAAGGTTCTCTGGCAGGAGAATCTGCAGTGTATTTTTGGTTAAAAAGGGTGTTGGAAAAGTAGGAGCTGCATGAGCCTGGATTGCTCTGGTAATTGTGAAACAGATGCCACAACTGGATACTGCAGAAAAGAATGTGTTGGAGCTTAAAATACCAGATGCCACTTTGATTAGAGTAGTCTTGTAGGTTTGTTTGATATCCCTTTTGTGTGTCTTTCAAAGAGGACATACACTTTTATTTGCTTGTCCATTATATTGAATTACTGTAAACACTTCAAATGTGCATGGTAGTTCTCAAACGCAGCAAGGCATGTCAACATGTCATCCAGAGAGCTAGGAGGGAATCCAGCCTGGAAAGCATGAAAGTTGGCTTTGTTGCCTTTGACACTTCTTTGTGTTGTGTAAGCATACCTTGGGACAGGGAAGAGTACAGGCAAATAAATGCTAAAAAAGGCCATAGGTTCAAAGTGTTAGAGAGTTAGTAAATGCTAAACATCGCTTTTAAGTATATGGAGATATTAGCATGAAGTACAGCAGTTTGTGCAACTGTTTACAGAGAACTGTAAAAATCTAGCCATTATTGTGCTTTCCAAGGGATATAAATGTGATAGGCCCTTAGCGTTTCTCATAGGCAGAGTTCTTGTAAGGTTTTCTACAAAATCAATTCTAAGAAATAGCCTGATACTGGCCAGAGTACATCACATGGACTATCATATGTAGCTGTGACTTACTGCATTGTTAAAGGCTTCATTTTTTCTTTGAAAACCTGGCAACTGATAAAAGTAATCTCTTCTGTATTTGCAAACATAGCTTTTTAATTTCAGTGTTTATGAGACAAGAGTGTTCCAGAGTGTACTCTAAAACAGTGATCAGCGTTTTGGGTGAGACGTTTGTGGTAGTTTTATAACCATGCTTCTTGGGAAGCTTTTGTAAGCAGTGACCTTAACGGTAGTAATTTAAAAAAAAAATTTAAACTGTTTTATAAAGCAAACAGAGTTCAAGTTCTAGAATTACAGAGGAAGGATCAGCTAATAATCTTGTAATAGAGCTGTGGGAAATAACTTGTATTGCTGATGTCACTGACATAAAGGAAACAATATTTGCTGTCTGTTTAGTATGGAAGCATGGCTGATTAGGCTGTCGCATGTTCCTAAGTTAGAAGTTTGTCATTACTCCTAGAAGAAACACTCCTTTAACTGTTTCTGCATATGCATGAGCTCTAGCTAGAGCTGTAGATTTTGCAGTTCACTCTTGTCTTTTGCTGAAGCACGTCTCCAAGTTTGGTTCTAGTCCAAAGATAACGCTTAAATATCCCCACTTTGAGTGTATGATTGGTTATGACTTTTCCTTTAATCTGTCTGTTGAGAGAGGAGAAATTTTCAGCTAAATTTCTAGAGGCTTTATATAGGAATACTTATTTCGTCATTCATGGAATGCTGATGTTAAAATAAATGAATGGAGGGGCAAAGACCTCTGTGTTCTGCAGAACAATATTGTCTCATTGTTTCTCTCTATGTGCATTACCTCTTGTTCCTTGTTTTTAATGCTTGACTGTATATCCCTTAGGACAGAGATAGTCCTTTTGTTCTGTGTTAAAAGGAAATCTAAAGGATCAGGGGCTAGCATACAAATTATAAGTAAAAATAAAATGTTTCATGTTCAAGGATACTGAAATAGTAGATGTTCCGTGCACTTTGGCACTGTTCCTTGGCTATTAAACTGCTTATTGATTTCTATATCTTTGTGTGTAGGAAAATAACAGTTGCATATTACAGTGCTTTATTTCTATCTTTCAGGTGAACGTTACTTAAATCTGAAGCATTTAGTTCTGGTTTGTACTTTTATGTGACATTGTAAAACTGTCCATATACCCAATGTGTCTGAAAAGTGAAGTAATTTTTGTTCCTGGCATATCAGTTGGTATATCCCAGTGTAGCAACATATGCATCACTTCTTGTCAGAAGTCTTAGAGTAGCCATATGTTATCAGTATCGTACTATATCTGAAATAGTTAATTTCAAGGTAAAACTTGTGCTTTCTCTGTATTTTGGGATTGTGTTGTAGATACAGTATAAAAACAGAAATAGCATAGTATGTGGTAGTATCCCTGATTTTATGCTGGTTTTGTCTGTCCTAATGGTTTTGGTTTTTTCTTCCTCCTTTTCAGGTTATATATGTTCCCAAAGAAGACACTGACTCCAGAGCAAAAAAGTGTCAGTCCATTAGTTTGGTGCAGGCAGGTATTGGATTCCCCAAGTCCTGACATTGAATGTGCTAAAAAGTCCCTGATCCGCAGGCTGGAACAGACAATGTCAGGTGAGTTCCTGCATGCTAACACCACTGGGCTGTACGTACTCATTCTGAAACAGAATCAGAATTAGATGATAGATAGCTAGAAGAGAAGAGCATGAGATCCAGCAGTTACTTCTGTCTAAAGTTTTCATTTGTTTGCAAACAGTAATTCATTCTACTCACTTTCAGGACTGGGCAAATAATACAAAAGGAAGCATTGGACCATGGTTCATGATTTCAGAGCTTTATATTACCTGCATAGTTAAATTAGGTCAGAAGTTTTCAGGAAGAAACTATGTCCTTAACTTTAAGGGTTTTTGTCTTATTTTATAATAGAAGCCTGTATTAAGCTATTGTAATTCTGAGGTGCTCTTAACATGGAACTTAGTTTTCTGCTAGATGAGCTGTTTTATTTCATCTAAATAAATGGAAACTGAAGTTCTTGAATGCTTTGGGGAGGTGATAATGATTTCTTTTCCTCCTGTTCCAGGTAATTTAAGATCTTGTCAGAGATTAAAAAAAATCCAGAGTTCATAATTCTTCCCTGATAAAATTTGTTGGTTATATTCAAAACTGTAGAAGAACTGAACATTTGGCCCTGTGAGGATGAAAGCGTACTTTCTCCACCCTTTTATTCTCTGCCTTTTTTGTGTCAGCAAAATGCTGAAGGTCTGATTAGAATTCTTTGTCCATCTGGTTTCTTGCTTTATTTTAATTTCTTTGTTAGAGCCTATTTTTATTTAAAAAGAGAAATTATGCTGAGGCATAAGTTTCTTTCTTGCTGTTAATATCTGTTATCTCCCTTCATTTCCATCATTTTGCAGTCTTGCACTACATGTGATCTATCTTTTTTTTTTTTAGCTGTTACCTTCAGGAATTAGCAGAATGACTGGACTTGAGCTGAGAATATATGAAAACTGTTTCAGTTTTCCCAGCTACCAGCTCCTTTGCATGAGTTTATTTGACTAACTTTTTTCCTCTCCTTGAAGTCTTCTCTGGAACAAATCAGTCTTTATTCTGGTTTGTACTGAAATAATTCTTAATAAAATTTGAAAACATCACTGGTAGATCACATGAAAAGTCTGTTTCTTATTCTTAGAAAAATTGTGGGTATAATGGTGAAAGTACTTTCAGTGTGAGTTATTTTTTTTTCTTTCCCTGCTTCTTGTGCTTTGTGTATGCTGCTTTGCCAAATGTCTATTAACAATTTTCTTGAACAGTTAGCATGATACATAGCTTGGTGCAGGCAAAGACTGAAATTCTAAACAATGAAAAGTACCCAGATCGTGGGGATTTATGAACAATGATACAAGTGTGGAAATTTGAATACTACTGAGGAAGTAGGACTGGGTAGCTGTTCAGTTAAACATGAACCATTCTGTTTGTCGCTCACCCTTCTTTCAGAACTGAATAGAAATCTTCCAGAAGTACCACAAATTACCCTTAAAGTGTCTTTAGAAATTCAGTCCTAGTTGAAGCAGATTGGCAGGAAGTTTCCCTGTGAAATGAACAAACTTGGCAGTTTGGTCATTCAACTGATGTGTCTAGGCAACTTTACTTGGTTTTTTTTCCCATAGATTTGAGAATCGGTCTCTGGCAGTGATACTTGTAAGAATACTGCAGTTCATCTTCAGTACTAATAGGGAAAAATATTAGCAGTAGAAGAGATGGACTCTAATACTGCCGTTTGGAGCAGATTGCATGGAAAAATGGATTTGTAGCAAAGAAAGAAAATTTTTCTTTAGAGCAACCAGCTTTCTTACAGATACAAGGTAGCAGGAAGCTCCACTGGAGAAGGCAACTTTAATTTCAGTTTCAGTCTCTGTGGATAAGGCTTTTCATACTACTGCTACTTTCTCTCCTGAATCTTCATTGATGTTTCTTTTGCCTTGACTATTTTCTCTTTTTCAGTTCCTTTTGTAATATCTTTCTGATCTAGTATCTTTTTGCTGTTTCACAGTCTCAGATGCATTCTTGTATTCTACATTTTCCTCTTCCTTCTTATAAAGTAATCTTTTCTGTGGCTTGATAATAAAGGAGAGAAGGGCAGCTTTCAGCTCTGCTACTGAGAACACAAGATGCACAGTGCCTTGTCACTAGTTAGTTCAGGTCTGCAATTGCAATGCAGTCCTGCTCAGCGTTGGAAGCATGTTCAGACTAGAGGGAGCCTTAGGTATATTTTGGTCCAGATACCTCTCTTAGCCATGCCTCCGTTCCCTGGTGAAAAGTGCAGGAGTGCCTTTCATGTTGGCTGGAAACCACAGCTTCCACCACATAGTGGTCTAAAATCATACAAGAGTGGACCATGTCAAGAAAGCGACTGCAGGAACAGAGAAATAGTAGGCAGAAGAATTCCTTGAAGAGATGCTTTCTTAAGACACAGTTGCACAGAATTATAAAGGGGTAACTTGAGTCATACTGCAGTTTTTACTGAGGCAGCATTTTTATTTATATATTTGAAATGAAATGCATGATCAGTACAGCTGGTAGGGCTGTGTGGCTGTTTGTATAAGAACTGTCATATTTTCCATACTGAGTGAGTGACTTTTCAGTTAAGCATTGAGCTTGTTCAAGACCAACTGTTATTTAGCTAGCTTTGGTCTCAGTGATAGGCTTAACTAATGTTTGGTTTGAATTACTACAGGGACTGCTAGAATAAATTTGTCACTTAATCATGACAAAAATAATTAGGTCTCTAGCATTTGGAAAAATTGGACCTGATTCATACAGGAGATCTTCTGAACCACTTAAGCATGAGTTTTCTGCACTCAAATTTTTCTATTTCTAGAGCAAAAGAGATTTGAGACTAGTTTAGCCAAATGTTGACTGAATAAATTAGATGCTGTATACTGTTTCTGAATGCTGTAAAGGAAAACTTATATTAAAATAAAAATGTGGATTGTTATCCCTCCCCTCTGGAGTTTTGAAAGCTAATGTATAATCTTTTGCAAGCTAATGCTTCATCTAATATAGTATCATTTTAATGTTAAAATGAGTTATCTGTCTTAATAATGTTGTCTGACACTCCTAATAAATTCCATAGCTCTAATTGTTGTAAAAATTAGTAGTGTCGTCTTAAGTTATGAAAACCCCTGTTAGAAAAACTTTAGGCATTCTGGGCCAGAAAAATGGTCTGAATCCAGCTTTTTTTTTTCTGGGGAAAAATACAGTGCTGAGGAAGGTAGAAGTTCACATTTGCCTAGGGTAAAAACTATGTACCATGTAAAGTTTCATCGTGTAGCAGAACATCATTTTTATATATAACAAGAGTATGCTTTTTGATTTAAAGAAATCTGTGTGTGATAAAACATTTTCTATCATCATGAATGTGTACAAAGAGCCTATTTTGAAGGTTATACAGTAGTACAATTGTTTTCTAATTTGTGGTTAATATTTTGAAATACTCTGTGTAATAAGTATGAAATAAAGAACTGCTGTGCACTCTTGCATTTTAGGGGATTTTTATTGTAATTTTCTACAAAAGGTGAAAAGTAAAATTTTTTTGGCATGAGAACAAAGATTCAGTTGGACTAGATGCTTTGGGGTTCCTATGTGAATAGGAAGAACTTGTTGTAAAAGGTATTGTCTCATCAGAGTAAACCAGAATACAACCAGTTTGTCATTACTGGTTTTGTTAACTAAGCTTTGTACTAAAATGGAGATTTCCTTGATGCTTTCAAAATAAACTGGAGGTGCATCAAGAATACTTGCTAGAATTCACTAAGAGAGTTGGAGTTGTTCAGATTGGAGAATAGAAGGTTCTGGGGAGACGTTATTGCAGCCTTCCAATACCTGAAGGGGTCCTACAGGAAAGCTGGAGAGGCACTTCTTACAAGGGCAGGTAGCAGCAGAACGAGGGGAAATGGTTTTGAACTGAGAGACGGTAGATTTGGATTAGTTAAAAGGAAGAACAACAAGTGGGAGAAGGAGCTGAAGTAGGCTTTGCTGCCAAAAGCAGCATTTCATGCAACTGAGTTTCTTTCGGCTTCTTGTAATGTAAAAACAAAATAAAATATATATATTACACAAAATAAAAGGATTTTCAGTAAACAATTTCACAGAATCACAGAATATTAGGAGTTGGAAGGGACCTCAAAAGATCATCCAGTCCAACCCCCCTGCCAGAGCAGGATCACCTAGACTAGGTCACACAGGAACGTGTCCAGACAGGTTTCGAATGTCTCCAGAGAAGCAGACTCCACAACCTCTCTGGACAGTCTGTTCAGTACTCTGTCACCCTCACAGTGAAGAAGTTTCTCTTTATGTAAAAAGTTTTATGTAAAATTAATGCCAACTTGTCTGGCACAGTAGAATAATTTCCTTTCTCTTTTTGTTCACTACTATCAGTAGCCTAATAATTACTGCACTAATTGAAGCTCTTTTTCAGTAACTTGAATGTCTTACAATATTCTTTGGATAGCTTAATTTCTGCCTTTTTTTTTTTTTCTTGAGTGCATTGCCATATGTTTGCCACACCTATTCTGGCCAGTTTATAATATATATGCATAGTTTCAATACTGTGATACCTTTTAAGAGAGTTTAATTTCTAGCAGCTAGATGAGCTGCAACTTAATCTAGTCTAGATTTGCATATCATAAAGTTTAGATATCTAGCTTTCGGTTTAATGTTATGCAGTTGTTTTTGTTCTTTGCTAAAATACAATTCTGTTTGGCATAAAATACTTTCAGCAATGAAGGAACTGACTTTACCAGCAGTGACAAAATGTCCTTTGGTTCCCACTTTCCTCACTGAAGTTCCATTTTCTATTATATTAAAAAAGACAGATTTCTGAACAAAACAGTCATTTAAGTAACTATAAAATCATACACCTGGCAACTATAGTAATTTCAGTATCATACTGAAAATATTCACCAGTTGTTAAATTTCATCTGAAAATACTTTAGAATTGAAATATTTACAATAAATAGTGAAGTACTCAATTTTAGATCTTGTATTGTATATATACATTACCTGAAGGGGGCCCTGCAAGAAAGCTGGGGAGGGACTGTTTACAAGGGCATGTAGCAATAGGGAAGGGGACAGTGGTTTTAAACTAAAGCGGGGTAGATTTAGATAAGACATTAGGAAGAAGCTCCTCACCATGAGGGTGGTGAAACACAGGAGCAGGTTGCCCTGTGAGGTGGTGGAGGCCTCATCCCTGGAGACATTCAAGGTCAGGCTTGATGAGGCTCTGAGCAATCTGATCTAAAGATGTCTCTGCTCACTGCAGGGAGGTTGGACTAGATGATCCTTAAAGATCCTCCTCCAGCCCAATACATTCTATGATTCTATATGGAGTTGAAGCCCAGAAACATAAAAATTCCAAAGCACTGGGACAGGAGGTATACAGAAAGATATAACCCTCAAGTCAAGTTTGCTTTGTTGTGGCCAGTAGGTTTGTGGTATCTAGCAATATAAACAGAAGCATTTGCCATGCTTAATGGTTTTTCATTTTAGTATATGCTTTGGGAAATTGTGTAGGTGGTATTGTTTAGTTCTGCGGTGCTGGCCTTGGGGTTACTGTTGAAATACTGTGATCTAGACAGGTCTGTGAATTCTGGAGAACTAGACTTCATGGTGTTCTCTGGTTTATGTAATTCTGCATAGGATGTATGTTAGCATAGCTTAGCTACTGCTGTCTTTTGAGTTGCTTCCCTCTTCCTTCTCAATGTCTACATTGGACATCTTGAAGAGATCAGATTTTTTTATAAGAAAAATATTTGTTGCTGTCTTGTCTTGCCCTCTTCTTCCACAGTACAGTTGTATCTAGGGGAAGAAGAAATCAGTTGAAAAACTTCACGGTGACTGAAATGTTCTACTTGAGTTGTATAGTTATTAAATCACACTGAAGATATTCCATAGTATTGTATTTATTTTTCACTGGTTCCTTCAGTAAAATTTGTCACTTTTCCTCTCTCATACAGCTCTCAAGAGACAGAGTTTGTACAGCAGCCCTTTCAGTGCGGTCAGTTACGCAAGCTCCTGTAGTCCAAATACCGGTAGCCCCTACAGCAGTGGTTTCAACTCTCCCTCCTCAACACCAGTGAAATCTGGTTTAGCAAAACAGCTTATACCTCCTGGTACCTCAGGTAAGTGTGTGTGGGGGTGTCTGGTCTCTCCCTTTCCCTTTCCATATCTTCTTTTCAAAAGTGTGCTCAAATAATTACATTTGCATTGAATTAGAGTAAGCAGACACCAAAAACCTGTCAGTCTGTTGTAGGATGTTTACATCATGCAGGAAAGGCTTTTTTAAAGACCTTCTGGCATGAGATACATTTAAAATGTTTTCTTTGGATGTCCATGTCCCTAAGATCACTGATGCATATTAGGAGTTAGACCAAAACAGGTAGTGTTAGTTCTGAAGCGGCTTCTAGAATTGGCTGTGTAATTGACTGGGAGGTAAGTTCCATAGTAGGTGTTTAAGGGTTAGGTGTTGGTAGTTGTAAAGTCTTTGCTACTGCCCTATTACTTACACTGCATACCAAATGTTTCAGTTAGTATCCATCAGTACCTCTGAGATGTGAACTATATAACCTAAGGAAGAAGCATGTATTTTAATTAAAGGCTTTCCTTGAGGCTTTGCAGTCATCAATGTAAACACTAATTTCTGGCCATTTATTCTGCATCATTGACACTTTCTTTGCATCAGAAAAGTTGATATCTGGAACATACCTGTACTTTGAAGTCAGAAGGTTGGCTTATTATATATACTTTAACTCAAGTTAGCTTGCAGGGAAGATGGAAAAAACATTGCATTGACAATCCAACTATCTGTAGTTCACTGTGGACTTGTAAAGAGAAGCCAGCACTGCAGTATATTCACTAGAGCCATTACCCAGGTTTTAATCTATGTAGCTCTGCTCTGCTCTGCATCATGTGCTACGTTGCTGTATCTGCCTGCAGGACAGAGAGAGGAAATGTAACTGGCAATGAGGTGTCAGCTAGAAGGCAGCAAACGAGAAGTGTTTTTCTGATTTGTGATAGTTTAGCAAAGGTGTGTACATAGAACAGGTAGTATTTTCAGATAAACTGTATTTTAACCATTCCAAACTGAATCAGTATTCATTGTATCCGAGGTCCTTATTGTCAAGAAAGATACAGTTGAACTTAGGTCTTACAAGGTAGTGTGCAGAGATGAGGATGAAAGCACAAATGGAACAGGTACAGCTGCTCTTTCTGTAGGAGCTGTGCAAACTTCATAGTGGTTGGGACTTGGTACAGGTAGACCAGATTATATCCCGTTAATTTGTTTTACCACCATTATGATTTTATAAAGTTGCTTTTTTTCAGAATGTAGTGGCTAAGCTCTGCTTGTGTAAATTGCATTTTCAGCCTAGGTTTGCAATCAGATGTTTCAAATGGTCTGTGAAATTCAGTGTTTGTCATGATATGTTTTCAGGTTGGTGGTTGTTTTACTAGGAAATGAAATACAGCTTGCCTTTTTTAACGTTTTTTTGTTACTTTATTTTCTTTTCTTTCTTAGGTCATCTTAAAAGTTCAGCAGATAGAAATCCTCTGCTAAGTCCACAGTCCTCTCTGGACAGTGAATTAAGTGCATCAGAGATGGATGAAGACTCTATTGGGTCTAATTACAAGCTAAATGATGTTACAGATGTGCAGATTTTAGCACGAATGCAAGAAGAAAGTAAGTATTTTCTATCCTAAAAACAAAGTGGAGGAGTTTATTTTCCTTAATTGAATAACTGCAGTTATTTGCTTAGCAGGAATGAGGAAGGGGTGTCAATTCAGCTATGGATATACAAATGTAGGTCTTCTTAGAAGGCTGGCTCAGGACTTCTGCCTCCAGGATAAGGAAAGGAGGTTGCTGTACAGAAGTGTTCTTTAGGAATAGTGGACAAAAGAGACCCTAGAGAGAGTATGAATTTGTAGCATATAGTATATGGTAAAAGGATGGTCATTAGGCTGGACTGCTGCCTGCCACCAGTGCCTTCCGACTGTAATCCAGTCTTGTTGACATCAGTGCTCATACTATGATTTAAATCGCAAAAATGTAAATCAGTATGGCAAGGAGTAGTTATGAAAAGCACCTATGTAGATGTCTCTTTTTTATTATAGGTTTAGTTGAGATTTTGTTTATCTCTTTGTTATTTTGAGACTGCAGTAAGTGGTAGTTCAGTTGTCTAACTAGGTGTGGTCTCCAGACTTTTTTTTATTGCGTGCGCCTGTCAGTGAAAAATAACCCCAATTCTCCAATATACATATATTTTTTTATTAAAATATATACATGTACTACTCTACTAATAAGTTACATACACAAAAATAGAAATTTTTAAAGGATGAGATAAAGATTTAATAAATGCTATTTTTTAAATATTTTTTTATTAGTAGTACAAAATTTCTTCCTGTACCACAGTAGATGCGTGCACCCCACTTCAAAGATCAGTAGCCAAACAGCTCTTAGTTTTTCTAGGGATATCTTGTTATATAGCTTTTTTGTTACATTTACTGATACATTGCAAGGGACCTTGCATTGTAGCTGCTGTAATTGTTATAGGATGTTACATTATAATAAAATTACAAGTACACAGCACACCTCTACTGATGATTGCTGTAGTAGGAAAAGGAATGAGCTCACCTACTTTCGGTGTTAATCTGGAATTAATTTCATGTCTCAAAAGGAGTTAAGGTGAGCCAAATTTAATTTTGATCTCTAGGTAGATGTTTGTATGCACTGTCTGTACTTTGAATCGTTTTTGGACTGGAAGCAAGTAAACAATATTCTCATTGTTGCCAGGTCTCCGGCAAGAGTATGCAGCAACTGCGTCTCGGCGTAGTTCTGGTTCTTCTTGCAATTCTACAAGGCGAGGCACATTCAGCGATCAGGAGCTCGATGCACAGAGTTTAGAAGATGAAGAAGAGGGCACGCATCACACAGGGCACCCTGCTGTTAGCAGGTTCTCACCTTCACCTCGCAGTTCTCCCTGGCCTTCACCAAAACAATCTCCAAGGAATTCACCTCGCTCCCGATCACCTGCTCGAAGCATAGAATACAGCAGAGTGTCACCCCAACCTATGATTAGCCGTTTACAGCAACCTCGTCTTTCACTTCAAGGCCATCCTACAGATTTGCAGACTAGTAATGTCAAAAGTGAAGGTAAAAAGCTCTGTCTCAAATTCATTACACAAGTAGTATAGTTCATGTAAAGGATTTTGGTCAGCGTGCAGTGCTAAAACTATCTGCCTATATTAAACCACCATGGTTTAATCTCGTAGTTGGTGAAGAAAAAGCAGAGCAAGCAACAGTTGAGTTCTACTGGGGAACGCTTAAAGTCAGATGGGTTGATAGGTTTATATTTATTTGAGATGTTGTCCAGTCACTCTAGGTGTAATTAAGTTTCATGGTGACTGAGGCCTATCTTTGGCAGGCAAATGGACTAAAATAAAGCAGAGCCTGAGGGAAACTATCATTCACCAGTAGGGTTAGGCATTGCAGATGACAGAATAAAATGCAAGGAAAGTTATTGTGGTCAGGTACTCTTTCCTGGCAGCAGTCTGACAGAAACTGCTTCATTGGGCTGAAATTTCACAACTGTATTCCTATTTTAACAAATGTAGTTGTTATCTGGCAAATAAATTCTTTAATTCAGAATAATATACATCTAGGTATTAATTATTCACTTTATTTTTTCATCTTTCAGATAAGCTGGATGCAAAATGTCTGCAGTAGAGATGATGTAGAAATGCATTTTTTAACAGTTTATTTTCTTGGTGTTTTTTCCCCCCAATACAGCAAAGAGGTCTATGCCACTTACGGAATTTAATTGACTAAGAAAGTTCAATCAGGACAATCAGTGTGCTAGGCTAGAGCTTTGGGAGAAGGTGATCCTGCAAATTTAATTAGCTAGTCAAGAATATCTTTGGAAGTGTTAGCTTAATTCTCATATGGTAATAGTAGTTTGGGCAAGTTTTACATATATAGGAAAATGTACAACACAAAAGCTAATCAATTGTATTGTGACTTTCCCATTCTTTCTAAGGGTTCCATTAAATTCTTAATGCATGCTAGATGAGTTACAACAAAAATATCCCATGAGAGGCAAGGTACCAAAAGCTGGTATCCCACATACCAGAGGTATCAAAATAGAGCGTGTGATCATGTGCTTCTGAAACACTTCCAAGGAATTTTCTTGTAGAGGTTTTTGTGCAGTTGAATATTGCTTGGATTCAGAGTTGATACACCAGCAACCAAAACAAGTTGTTTGGGATTTTTTTTTTCTCTCAAGCGGTTAGAGGGAAATTTGGTTGGCAGGGTTAAACAATGTACCAACTGCAGTGCAAAGTAGTAAGTGCAGAAAGTACCCTTGTTGGAATGTTCAGCCTATGAAGGCTCTTACTGTTGTCTTAATCTTTAGTGTTTTTGCATGATTAGCATACTTCTTTCCTGCATGCCTCTACAGAATCAGGTTGGCCGCTCATCCTGACAAGGCATCTGCAGTCTTCTGTTGGAAGTATGTCATCAACCCAGCTCTGCATGGGTTGGAGATCACAGAATCACAGAACGTTAGGG